CCAGGGGTAACAGTGAGCGGAACTTTTCCGGCAGGACGGCGGGTTCCTACGTTCTAGCAAACCCAAGTCCATGTCCTTGGGATTGGTTCACGTATCATGTGAAGAGTAAGGCGCCACTTCTGAGACAGAAACAACCTGACTGCTGTTTGTACTCCATGAGGAGGACCCGTCCATGGACCGAAAAGTCGAAGGAGTATCCGATTGTCAAGGTTTGGCCTGACAAGTCGGCAAGCAAACGAGCTCATCAGATATGCCAGAGCAGTGTCGTGGGCCTTGCAAATGCCATATTTCAGAATCCCCATCGCTTTCCCGTGTTTTCTGGGAGATGCCCGATCCAGCTTGCCAACGTCCAGGTCAGGTTGACTCTCGTCAACTTGCAATACCCGCAATGGGGAGCCGATACATTGGACCAGGGTGCAAAACGCATTGCCCCCCTTGTAGGAGCTGTATCAAGCACACCTGCGAATTTTGGAATCAGGACATCCTGGTCTCCGAGGTGCATCGTGTTCTCTCCAATCAGGGCGACAGCAATCAGTCTTCAGCCGAAGCTAGCGGTGGCCTATACGTACATATCATGTACCAGGGATGGTTCACGGCCGACCGAGGGCTTCTTATATGAAGGACTGAGGTAGAAGGGGACGGTGGCTCCAGCCCCATGGAATCATGATGAGGGCCGTCAAATTTGGGTCCGATCCTCGATAGATTGCGGCAGCCTGTCTGCCCGTCATGAGGCATAGCATCCGGGAGCGAGATAGGCCTGGTCATATGCTTGACACTGCTCGGGGCACTCCGCAACTGCTACCATGATATGGAGACGAACCGCCCACCCGTTTCCCTGATATTTTGCCAAGTGGGCGAGCGGCCGGGCCCGAAGAAGATCTGTTCTCCCACAACCCATGGAAACAGAGTACCAGCGAACGTACACGATCGGCAGCAACATCGTGGGGTGCAAAGGCCTCTTGTCGGCCAATGTGAGCAATCTGGCCTGAGTCAAGATCCACAAAGCAAACTTCGTTCAATTTAAAGTGTGCCGTATGTTTGCCGCACGCAATAAATCGCGTGGTACAGGCGCTTTCCCAGGTGCCGGTTCGTGGAGCAAGGTTCTGGGCGAGGGTCCATGAAGAGGAATATGTCCACCTTGGGGGGAGCCCACCAAAGCACGATAGAGGCGATCTTGGTGAGCCCTAAAATTCCGAATCCATTTCGCTAGCGACCGTCCCATCCAACACTGTCTCTGCATAAGCTCGGCCATGTGTTTTGCAACCTGCTTCTTCCTTTTCCGTCTCTCTTTGCTCTCTGTTTTTCCTTATCCCCTCCACCCTCCACTCCGCAATTTTTCTTCATTATCGTCTTTTTCTCCAATCGTTGTCCAATGGATGAAGGGTACCTCTCCTCTCCTCAACCGAATAGCCCAGTTAAAGTCACTGACCGAGATATAGTGACTTTCAGACAGTTCCTGTCGACGAGACATACCGCGATGTCATACTGCACCACAACAGGGAGTATCAACGATATGCCGTGGAACATGGCGTGTATTTCTCCCCTGTCGACGATGTGAGAGTTGCCCATCCGCATGCCATTGCTTCGACCTAACCATGACTGGCTCAGGACGAGATCGAGTACCTGCAGTACATCCACGGGCTGTTCAAATTGATGTTTGAGGACAGACTGATCTTCCCACCTATTCCACAACCCCGGAAGATCCTAGACTGTGGCTCTGGCTCTGCCTCGTGGGCCATTGACGTTGCAGAGACATATCCGGAATGCGAGGTTCGTTGAGCCCGGCCTCAATAGTTGTGGTGACTGTCAAAGCCGGAGACCTTCTTTGTGGCCAACCGGTTTGCGTGATCCCATTGCTAACGATAGGATCACAGGTGATCGGACTCGATATATATCCGTATCCAATGCCGGAGGACTTGCCTGCCAATCTGGAATTACAGATCGACGACTTGAACAGCCCGTGAGAAAGCCCGAGGGCCTGGAATATCCGACAATCCCAAGACTGACACGCCAGCAGCTCAACTTTCCCCTCGAACCACTTCGACCTGGTGCACAGTCGATTGATGTCGGGCGGCATCCATGCCGATCGATGGGTCAATTACCTGACCGACATATTCAGGACTTTGCGCCCTGGAGGCTGGTGTCAAATGGTCGAGATATACTTCAACGCCCAATCGGATAATGGAACATTGACAGCGAGTGAGTCGACTCGCCCAATAACGCGCTTTTTGAACAGTTCTGACCCAAGCTCAAGACCATGCTCTGCAGGTGTGGTCCCAGAGTTACATGCAGAGTGTCCAGCCATACAAAGACCCCAGAGCGCCTCTCCGATTGCAACAAATGTTGACCGAGGTTGGGTTTGTCGAGGTCGAAACAAGAGTTGTGACATTGCCTCTGTGCGGGTGGTCGAATGGTGAGTGTGGCAGTTGCTTCGTGGTTGTGTACAACACTTATCCTGTCTAACGCACTTGTAGACCCGCGAGACCACAATATCGGAGAAGCAAGCCGGCCCATCGTCCACCGAATGCTGTCATCTCTTTGTGCCTATCCTTTCACGCAGGTTCTGGAGTAAGCATATACCCCAATTGTCATGAAGATGGCAACGGATCGTTGACTGACTGATCTCTCAAAGCATGTCACAAACCGATGTTCAGCTCCTGGTAGCGCAAGCTCGAAGTGAAGCTGATAACCCAGCTTTCAAGGTATGTAGACTGATTCCCCCCATCCCCTAGCTGGGGTTCAAACAGGGTCAATGGAAATGTGCTGATTGTGGTTTGGCCGATTTGCATCAGGCTTATTTTCCGGTGTAAGTGAACGTCCCAATTCAATCAATGGATTGAACGATGGTCAAAAGCAGGAGACTGACTCTTCCTCTGCAGCTATGTCTGTATAGGACGCAAACCAGGTCGTAGCAGGCAGCCGAGTCACACCGCTTATGTTCCACCAAAGGACAGGAAGCATGGTGATGCGAGGAAGCGAGCTCGGCATTGAAGCTCGTTAAGATGGACACATTGGGACTTCTGTCTTGCTCACTCCGGGGTCTGCAATCAACCCCTGATCTGAGGATCCGAAACCTGCATTCTACAGTATGTTTGCTTAGCCGGGCTTCGAAATGAAAGGCTTAGCTCCGGGGGTTGGGCATGGCGAGGAACAACAGCACCATGGCCATGTCCAACGCGTGACACCGAGGAGAAAGCAGAAACGCGACCGGGAGCCGAAAAGATGGAGGGGGAATGATACGTACCAGAGCTTGATAGACTGTTTTGCGCAAAATCACAAGATCTTAGCAGAGGACTCAGCGGCAAAGATGATGGAGTGAGTTTGTGGATCGAAGACACCCGACTTGGTCGTCGCAGGCAACGAAGAGTTCTTGGAAGATGAAGTGGACTGGGAGCGGATTTGAGTGAAGACTGAGCCAGGAGAACCTCATGTGCGAAACTGAGTTGATGGAAGGAATGCCCGGTGAAGTGCTTGGACGCTGTTGCCTTGACAAGAGAATGGACATCTAGCGAGCGAAAAGTCTGCCCATCATTCCTTCCTCCGGTGACTTTGGTCCAGCGGTCCAGATACCTCTAGCCAGAATCGAATAAGGGAAGGAGCCAATTACCAAAACAAAGAGCTGGGAGGTCGAACTCATCCTCGAATCTTTCAATTCCTTTTCGATTACGACAAATTGAAATTCTGGTGAAAATCACGCGTGTTAACAATTTTCAATGATCGGGCGGGCCGTGGCGAGATTGACTACCTTGAGTTGGTTTCAGAAGGACGGGAGCAGCCGCTTCAGTCACGCTCCAGCTTCCATGGATTGCTTCCACTTCACTTTGTCACGTTGTCTTAACGCAATGAATTCTTTGTCCGTCGGCACTTGGTATACGAACTTGGCAAGAATCAAAGTCAGGTACCCTCCTCATTCATGCTTTTCCCTTTCTAGATGCTCTGCATAAACTAGTACTTCTATCCTGCACCTTCATTGGCGTTTTCATGACCAGCACTCGCTCGCTCGGCATCAAAAACATCATAGTAGCGACATCCATCCACAATGGGCTGGTTCCCGCCGACAATAGACCATCATGACTGGAAGCCATCTCGGCCTGGGACTTGCGATAACCTGGGACATCCTTGAATATGATGACGGACAATGCTCGATTGCCTGGGCAAATCCATTCCAGGTCGTCAAAGAAGCGTGTTGTCGCCAGGCGCTAAAGGTGAATTGACGGGGCCATTGGAGTCCACTGGCGGGACCGGCACTCCGGAAGAGCTCCGACCCTTGCAATGCCCTGAATAACCTACCTTAGCTTTGAAATGTCCGGCGCGATTCGGATTCGGATTATTGAAGGTTGCAATGTGGTGGAACTCTGATTCTTCTCAGTACACTACCTATACCGCCATCGGTAGTGTCAGGTTTGCATTTTCCCAACAAGCCAGAGAAGAGGCAGGTATCGTGACGGAGGAATCCATCATATCCAAAGTCCGAAGGCGGGATGCAGCTGCAGGCTGCTAAAGTACCTCTAGTGTAGAACGAGACACAACACAGCGCAATCCAATGGGCAACCTCATTCCTCACAGCAACACAAAGCAGTCTCTCACCAAAAAAGATGCCACCATGTCGATGATTTACGTTTCTTACACTGAAGGCCTTTACATTGATCATAATCTCCTCTTGACATTTCACTCACGTCTTCAGATACAAGTAGACTCGACCAAAAGCCAACCCTAACCCGCGCAACCCCCACCTTGGCGGGACCATCGTCGCCAGCTCGATCAGGTCTCGGCGCTATATTGTAGCTTCGGGCTAGGCCGGGGATGACCCCCAACAGCCCAGTTAGGGTCCAATTTATAACTGGGGCAGCCATCAACAGCACATCTACTACGAAATGGAGATCTCGGATTTGACTGGACCGTTGTTAGGTCTGTTACGGGAAGCTATCAGCTCAGCTCTCCGCTGTAACCTCGACACTTTTACCTCAGCGACCGATTGCCCTCCTCCCTTCACCCATTCCCGAACGAGTACCTACCTAGTATCCCGTCATTCTTCAGTCGCGCATACCCATCATGGCCGCCCGTCTCCCCGCCAGCTTCATCGGAAGCTTCCTCGCTCGCTCTACTTCCCGCCAGACATGCCGCTTCACCCGCAACGCCGTCACCACCACACAATGGTCCTCCCAGCAGCTCTCGGGCAAGCCCATCAGGGCATACTCCTCCGACGCTGCCCCGGCGCCCGCTCCTCTCTATGCCAAGCTGAAGGGTGACCTCAAGGTCGCCATGCGCGCCAAGGATGCGCCTCGCCTGGTCGTTTTGCGCGCCGTTCTTGCCGCTGTTCTCAACGCCAGCAAGACCTCTCAGCCGATCGAGACCGACGCCCAGCTCGTTGCCCTCCTCCGCAAGACTGCCCGCACCTCCCAGGAAGCTGCCGACCAGTTCCGTGCCGCCGGCCGTGGTGACCTTGTCGAGAAGGAGGAGGCGCAGATCCGTGTCCTTGAGGAATACGTTGCCGGTAGCGGCGTCCAGGCGGTTGACGAGGCGGAGCTCAAGGATATGGTCCAGGCGGTTCAGTCGGAGCTGGCGGCCGAGGGTGTCGATGCTAAGATGGGCGAGGTTATGAAGAAGCTTCTAGGCCCCGGCGGACGTCTCGATGGCAAGGATGTCGAGAAGACCCTTGTTGCCAGGATCGTCAAGGAGGTTATGGGCACCAAGGCTTGATTGGACTGTGGTGGATGATATTGGAGAAACACCACCGGCTCAATGCGGCTTTACGGAATTCGATTCGACTCGACCCCCTTCCTTCCTTTACGTCGGAATATACGACCCACGATACCGATTCGATTCAGTGTACTATTACTATTACAACCTTGTACAACAACATATTAAAACGGGCGACGGATGGCTAGAGATAGAGCAAGAAGAACAGTCGTTGGAGGCATTATGGATGATATCACGATATAGTGTTGGAAGCAGAACAACGCCTGTTGGCACATTGAGGGGGAAAAGCGTTCACTCTAGGATGCCAGGCGAAAAAGGCGCATCGCACACTGCTGTCAATGTCCATCTAGACGTTATGGAAGAATACAATGTCTTCGCCAGGCGACGTTGAGAAAGGGAACAATATCCACCACTTGAACGAACACCCGCACACGGCCAACCCAAGCCAATCATCTTACTCGAGGTTTACAACATGGCGGTGCTGCTGTTCCAGAGCATTTCCCACTCCATGATCTGGCGAGGTTACGAATACTGCCCGACCTAGTCGACCATCTTGGCCGACTTTTTTTCCTTTGAGACGTAGCTATTGCATCACAGACTGGAAGCTCCGAGCGTTTTTGGGACGATTTCCAGCTGATAATCCGAGTCCCAGCCTGAAACTGACCGGTCACAGCTATTACGTTCCACAAAGTCCTCTTTCGTCCCATGGATCCGTCATATCGGTGAGGGTTATTGCTCTCTACGTTTTTTCAATCTTTTTCAACTTGTTCACCAAACAGCTTTGCCAGCAATCATGAATGCCAAGGAACCCTTGACATAACGTTAAAAAAAAAACTCGAGGAACTTTTTGCCGTGGCCACCAACTGATCAACCAAGCGATTCAAAATGCGGTGAGGCTTGTAATCAAAAGTCCAATTATAAACGCCTCTAATCGTGCAATGTTACCTCTCTCGGGTATGGTTACCGAAAAAACAACAAAAGAAACAATGGCAAAATTGGGGAAACACAAGGCAAGCGAAAAATGGTACGCGGGCGGGCGTTTTGTGGCACGGCTGGTGGTTCATCTAAAAAAAAAAAAAAAAAAAGTTCTTGCCCAGATTCAAGAGGGGAGTGTCGGTCGGTGCGAGTTAACGTCCGATGTTCGATGAGGTACACACGTACAGAGTGTTACTTGATTTGTTTCAGGAAGAAACACGATAATCATACCAAGATGAGATCGCAGAAAAAATATCTCTCTCGCACGACGACGGGGGAGTCCTTCCATAAATACTTTACCTACTTACCCGCGCCAAGCGAGGAATCATCATGGCAATCGATCGAAGTCGGGCATGTTATTTTGTCTTGGATGATCGGAGTTAGATTGATGATGGTATCCGGTTAGGTGCCTAGAGGTACCTACCGATCTTACGGATGGTGCAGTGGGGTTGGAAGTTCCCGTCTTGGAGATGAGTTGCGAGGGGTTTCGTTGTTGCAAGTGGTAGACTTATTTGGTAAGTATTGTACACCAGTCTGCGTTTGGGTTACCATGAGAGTAAGTCTTACTACTTCACCGCCCTCAGTTATGCTGATTTGAAGAATTAGTTATAACATTGCATCTTTCTTTTGCCTGTACATTTCCTCTTTGTGTACCCCTGCCTTGGATTCTTCGTCTCAAGGTAGGTAGGTAAGAATACGATCGGGATGAAAGTCATCTGGGCTGCCTCGAAACCCAACTAACGGGAAACGCACCACTTTTTCACCTGGATGAGACGAATCGAAGTGTAAGATACCGGCTTTGGTAAAGTTCTGCCCATCACCAGGCACAGGTCGCGCTAAAATGCCCCGTGACTTGCAGTGCATACGGTTCTTACAGGGCACAAAGTGTCTAGTGGCACGTGCTGCCGTATCTACTCCAGTCTGTGAGGGTCACGCGCCTATCGCATCTCAAACGGGGGGGCCGCGAGAATAAAGGAATGGAAGATTCCGTCAGATACATGGGATCCAATACAGCTTCAAAATTTTTTGAATTGTTCGTTTGCCTTGCTTTCCTTTCAGATAAATCCAAATTGCCGATAGCTTACCCTCTCCAAGTGTTCCAGGTTTGGGAGTGGCAACAGAAGTTTTAGTTTACACCGGCTGCAACTCTCGTCCCTTCCCAACCTCTTCTTGTTTTCTTCCTTTTACCAAATCTTTCTGGTCACAATCACAAGCGCGGTCAAGTTGCCCCTCCATCCATCCATCCATCCATCCATCCCCATCCATACACTATTTACATCCACCCAACCTTGACTGGACTGGACCGGACCTGGGCCACTGGCTATAACCCTGTCTGCATCTCGCATCTGATCGCTTTATCAATACGACCCAAACACTTCTCCCGTCTCTGCGCGCGGACTGTTGTCGACGATATTCAGAGGTACCTTGGTGCATTCAGAACAGCTTCACTTTGCGCGTGCCACTCCATCACAGATCTCTACTTTATTTGCACGACATCGGTTCGGTACATGCGCGGCAGCCGCAGATAGGTAGTGAAGGTGCAGAGATAGAGGCACATTACATATACCGGGTCGGGTACTACAGCACAGGTTAATAACAACTGCCTGTTGTGCATCCTCCCACTGCTACCAACCACCACCACTACGAGACACCACTCACACAACATTCCGGATCGTCCCTCATCACTCAGCCTCCCGCCGCTGCCGCTGAGGTGGAGGTTAGTACGCCGCTGCGATTAACTTTTTTTATCCCCCTTGTGCTTGTGATGACGGTGACGGTTGCATCGTCGCCTCTCAGCGGGAACGGTTAGGTAGGTAGCCACAGGCTGCTGCTGCTGCTGCACGTCGCCGCCATCTTTTTTCGCCCCGTTCAGTGCCGGACAACAACGGGCAACTATAGATGAACAAGTCAAGGCGATAATAATATCAAAATCCACTTCCAGATCGACCCGACATCTCGGTCTTGGCATCCGAGACTAACTCCAACGAGCGGAATCTGCTCCGACACCAACGGACGGTGAACCACTACTCAACCGCCAGTAAGTGTTGTTTGATCCATTCACCCACCCACCCGAACCAGATGCCCGCCTGCGGTGCAGTGCGGTGCGGATACTTTTGATTCACTCAGTCTCTTCTCCTCCCCGCCTCTTTCATTTTTTTCCAACCTTCACTTTCCGACTCACAAAATCCCGTCCTCTCACTTCTTCCTGCAAACCAGAAATCTTCGACTTTTAGTTACATTGCGCGATTGTCAAAAGTTACCCAGTGCTGACCAAAATTACAACAATCAGGCAAAATACCACACATCGCTCGCTACAGTATCGCGGCGGCAGCTCGACAGCATGTCGTGGAACCCGGAAGCGCTCCTGAACCCCAAAGCCGCTTCATCTGCTGCCTCCTCAACCTCAGACCTAACCTCGCAGTCTGGGGCATCCCCTTCCTTTCAGCAACCCTCATTTGCACATCAGATCCAGAGTGTGCCTTCAAGTCCGACCTTCCAGTTCACTAGTCCTAATGATCAGACGCTGAATATCGACTTCTCCGGCCTGCCCTATGGCGCCACCCTGCATGGTCATGTGCGCAACACGCCCACCTTTCCCATTTTCCAAAACGGCTTCGGTTCTCAGGTTGAACGACTCCACAATGTCACAGACCGCATCTCGGTGCCCCAGCCGAAGCGCAGAAAGACGTACAACGAAAATGACCATTTGCGTACCAACACGTTTGGAGGGACCAGCACTGGATTGCTGGCGGATCAGTTCGGGCAAAATGGCACTCCAGGGGCTTCTACGCCAGTGGCAATGATGACGAGGCAGACTGAGACAGTGGACTTGACTGAGGGCGACTCAGAAACCGCTCAACCTCGACAGCAGCTCGACCTGACCAAGGATGAAGAAGTCTGCTACGGTATGATCGAGGGAACTACCATCAACTGCCACCGAGTCCCTGCTCCCAAGCCTGGCATGGTGTCTCTTCTTGGCGACGGATACTGGCCGCAGATCAAAATCCTACTCAGAAAGCGAGTGGATGACACCGAGACGAATAGAATTCCTGCCTACGATTGCACTCGCGTCGTCTTTGGTTATCTTGACGCTAAGACGTCGTATTGTCTGGGGAACCTCCTGACATCCGCCATGGGAATACGTACTGATTGTCGGATCCCACCAAGACGTAAAAGCGGTCCCAACGAGAAAATCGGCGAGCCCATCTCGGCGGCAGTCCCTTTCGAGCTCATGCTCTACGGCCCTCGCAAGCTTGCGATTCAGATCGGAAACCACCTGGCTAGACATCACCTCGCCCTTCTTAGCCCGCCACGCGTCGAGCCCGGCATCAAGGTCTTCAACCCTCATGCGAAGGAGAATAGGCCGGCCCCTCCGGTCCGAGCTAACAGCTTGGGTGGAACAAATTCCTATTCTTTGCATCATTCGGCAACCGTCCGTACCGTTGAGGAGATTCGCAGCGAAGTAATGAGCGTCTTTGACTCACTTCCGAAATCTGAGAGTTTGGAGCAGATGGAGCCAGACCCGCGTATTACCACTGAGCTTCTGAAGCATCAGAAGCAAGCCCTTTACTTTATGACTGAACGTGAGAAAGACCTGATTCAGGATTACGGTGACAAACTCACACGGTCCACTTGGCAGCGCAGAAAGGATCCGCGCGGAGTCGATTTTTATTACAACGTTGTCACTATGCAGAACCAGAGAGAGCGTCCGCCGCCAGCATTGGGAGGTATTCTGGCAGATATGATGGGTAAGTTAGTCCATCTCCTCTTCTAATGTTCAAACTAACTTTTTGCAATCAGGTCTCGGCAAGACATTGAGCATCTTGTCACTCATTACAAAAACTATGGACCAGGCCGCGGCTTGGAGCCTTGAAGCTCCTGTGCAACCGCCGAAGCCGCCCGAGAAGAAACAGCCCAATGCAGCGAGATACTTTGAGGTGCCCAAACCTCAGGCCATGGGCCTAACGCCGGTGCGATTGAATGGAAAGGCAACCCTCTTGGTTTGCCCACTGAGCACGGTTACGAACTGGGAGGAGCAGATCAAGCAGCATATCAAACCCGACACCTTGTCTTACCACATCTATCATGGTCCCAACCGTGTGAAGGACGTGAAGAAACTGGCCCAGTACGACCTCGTCATCACGACCTACGGATCGATCTCAAGCGAACTCAACGCCCGCGCCAAGAACAAGGCTGGCATATACCCCTTGGAGGAGATAGCTTGGTTCCGCATTGTGCTGGACGAGGCACATATGATCCGAGAGCAAAACACGTTGGCGTTCAAGTCGATTTGCCGGCTTCAAGCAAGCCGCCGCTGGGCTGTCACTGGTACGCCAATCCAGAACAAGCTCGAGGATCTGGCCTCGCTCCTAGCATTCCTGCGCGTCAAGCCCTTTGACGAGAAGATCAAATTCTTGCAATACATAATTGCTCCGTTCAAGAATGCCGATCCCGAAATCGTGCCGAAGCTTCGCGTCCTCATCGACACGATAACGTTGCGTCGTTTGAAGGACAAGATCAACCTTCCGCCACGAACGGACGAGATAATCAGGCTTGACTTTACCCCCGAGGAGCAACGGGTGTATGACTGGTTTGCAAAGACCGCAAAGGAGCGAGTTTCGGTCTTGACCGGTCAAGCCATCGGTCAGGAACGCATTATTGGAGGCAAGACCATGATTCACATCTTGCGTTCCATCTTGCAGCTTCGCCTTATCTGTGCTCACGGCAAAGATCTCCTCAATGAAGAAGACCTTAAAGAGCTCCAGGGAATGACGGCAGACACGGCCATTGATATCGATAGTGACGATGATTCCGGCCAGCCTGTCCCATCTGAGAGCAAGGCCTACGAGATGCTCTACCTGATGCAGGAAGGAAACAGCGATAACTGTGCTAGGTGCAACACGAAGCTGGGTTCCAACGAGGTGGTGGACGTCGAATCTGAGCGTCAGGAGGACATCATCGGGTATATGGTCAAGGCCAACTGTTACCACGTCTACTGCAACAAATGCGTGGACCACATCAAAAACGAAGCGTGCTCTACATGCTCTGGCATGACCAGGCCTGGTTGCATAGAACTCCACCGCGCCCGTGCCATGGCCGAACACGAATCGAGAACCGCCAAGGTCGAGAACGGAGACGCAAACCAGGACCTCACCGCCTACTCAGGACCCCACACCAAGACTCGCGCACTCGTTGCCGAGCTTCTAGCCGACAAGCAGAAGAGCGAGGCGGCGCCCCACGAGCCGCCGTACAAGTCCGTCGTCTTCTCCGGCTGGACCTCCCATCTCGACCTGATTGAACTCGCCCTCGAAGACGCCGGCATCACCTTCACCCGCCTCGACGGCAAGATGACCCGCACCGCCCGCACCGCAGCCATGGACAAGTTCCGCGAGGACCCTTCGGTGCAGGTCATACTCGTCAGCATCATGGCCGGCGGTCTCGGCCTCAATCTGACGACGGCCAGCAGCGTGTACGTGATGGAGCCCCAGTTCAACCCGGCGGCGGAGGCGCAGGCGGTCGACCGCGTGCACCGCCTCGGTCAGAAGCGGCCCGTGCGTACGATCAGGTATATCATGGCGAACAGCTTTGAGGAGAAAATGTTGAGGTTGCAGGAGAAGAAGAAGAAGTTGGCGAGCTTGAGTATGGATGGTAGGGATAAGGGACAGGTGATGGATCGTACGGATGCGGCAAAGCAGCGGTTGATGGATTTGCGGAGTCTTTTCAAGTGAGCTGCTGACTGACTGGCTTGCCTCGATGCGGTTTATGGATGAATGAATGAATGGGTGGTCACTTTGTTATTATCATTTTTTTTCTTTTCTTATTTTCAAAGACGGGATAGACAGACGGATCGGGTATCATGCGTGCATGGGTTTTGCAAGCAAAGAGGAGTTCTGCGTCCCGGGGCTGGCTGGCTGGGTGGGCAGATATCATGACATGGCATGGCGCGACGGGGAAACGGGGAACGAATTACACTGCAGTGGCTCGGGCTAGATTTTACATTCCCAACATATGTAGACGGGTTATTACGGACGTCGAAGCTACCTTTCTTCTCTTCTCTGCTTTGCTTTGCTTTCGTTGGTTTTTCTACTCCTCTTACTTTCTCGCTCAAAGCAGGCGGGACGACAAGATAATCAGGGTGGTGTGGTGTGGTGGGTGGTCTTACTATGAGCTTGAGCTTTCCGTAGAGTAAGTCTAGAGATGGAGACGGGCAACGGGAACTTCCGGGAAGGAGATATATCCTTTCTGTCTTTCTCTTTCTTTCTAAAGGGCATTTGCAACGAGATATCACTCTTCTCTTCTCTATCTACCCTCACAGGGGAGCTTCGAGATATATATATATACACTTTATGCATTTCCATTTTTCAATTTCATTTTCATACCCATTTACCCCCCCCCCCTGCTCTCTCGCCCATAGACACCTACCTAGTCAAGATGGCGTTCTTCAGGCAGAGAAAGGCGGAATATTCACTAGTAGCCCGTTTATGGACATTATAGTGAGAGACATCACAATAATGTTTCCTACCGAACTCCATAGCTATTTGCCACAGGGTTTTATGCAAATCAACTAGATAGCGCTATCATCACCAACCCATAGCTCACTAGCTAGCTAGCTAGTTATTCGAAAACACAAAGGGAATGATAGTCAAGAAAAGACGTAGACAGACAGACAGACAGACAGACAGACAGACAGACAGAAAGTGGGAAATTCCATTTCCATTGCAAGCTTGGTCAACATGGCAATACCCAGTAGATGTCACCATATAAGCTAGAGTGTGGATCCAAAGTTTAACAACAC